AGGAGAAGTGGGTGAGCGGGTCCCTGCCCTGCACCCCATGGCGCTGCGCTGCACCTCCCCTATTCTCCCCGCTAGCCCGTTTGCACCCTTCTGATCTCTCACCCCATTGCGCCTCTCGCTGCACCTGTAGCACCCCCTCACCCGTTACATCCCCGTTACACCGCTCTGCACACAGCCGTTCCCCTCCTTGCATGCTCACCCCGTGCTCCCAGCCCCATTCAGCCATTCCTGGTCCTGAACCTCCCCAGGGGACCACCAGCCCATGGGTGTTGAGGGCATAGTCACACTTGGGGACTGCAGAAGGGCCCTAAGTACTTTTAGAATCACAGAATGGTTTGGGTTGGAAGAGATCTCAAAGCTCATACAGCTCCAACCCTCTGCCATGGGCAGGGGCACGTTCCCCAAGCCCCTATGTCCAACCTGGCTTTGAACACTGCCAGGGATGGGGCAGCCACAGCTTCTCTGGGCACCCTGTGCCACTGTTTTGGCAGCACAGAGCTTGGCACTGGATTCTCAAGGGAAAACGTTGAGGCTGGGGGGGGATGTTGAAGTATTTTGTCTTTTAACACCTCTGATATTTTTCTCCCCCGAGGCTGCCACAGCTCCCCGCATCCCGTGCACACGGCTGGCCCTGCACCACTTCGACATGAGCTACAGCCTGCAGCTGAAGGACCTGTGGCCCTCTGTCCGTGCCAGCCTGCTCTGTGAACAGAAGTATGGTGCCCTCCTCAACAACTTCTCTGCTCACAGCCATGTCACCCAGGAGCTGGAGCTGATGAATGCCACCGATTTTGTGTCCAAAGGCTCCAAAGAGGCACAGCAGAGTGCAGCTGCGGAAGAAGTGGGAAGGGGGGAAAGCAAGTCCCAGGAGGGGTCTGGGAAGGTCAGGACAGGGATGCAGACAGAGACAATAACATGGGCAGAGACATCGCCTCCGCTTCATGCCTCCATCAGCTCCAACATCAAGTGTTACACCTACCCCAGGGGGGACATCACACGCTTCCGCCCTGCACGGTGAGACATCCCTGGGACAGACCTCCCGCTGCCCTTGCCAGCCTCATGGGCTGCACATGTGTGAGCACCCGCTGCTCCTGCATGTCCCCATCCTCACTTCCAACTGCTCTTTCGTTCCCTCCCTCACCCCTTTGCTTTTTTTATGCAAACCGGTGATTTCCAGGCGCGACTGTCTGGGGCTCCTCGAGTATTATCTCATGGATGCAGCATCTCTCCTGCCTGTCCTGGCACTCAACGTGCAGCGGGATGATTTGGTCCTTGACCTCTGTGCTGCTCCAGGTGGCAAGACTCTGGCTCTGCTGCAGACTGGGCTTTGTGGTAAGTGGGTGTTCTTTGTCCCCCGTGGGTAAAACAGGGCTGGAAGAGTGTACTGAGGCCATTTAATGTCTGACTGTTAATCATTTCTGGTTATAAAACTTGGGAATCTGGTGTGTTTTTGCAAGAGTGACATTCCCAGTGTGCCTGGTTTGTCTTCTCAGGGCATCTGGCAGCCAACGACGTCTCCATTTCCCGGACAAAGAGGCTGTACGACATTCTCCACAGCTATGTTCCCAAAGAAATCAGGGAAACTGTGAGTGTCACGTCCCATGATGGAAGGGACTGGGAGCAGCTGGAAGGTGGCACTTTCCATAAGGTAGGTGATTGGGAACCAGTGAAGATAGATAAACTCGTCTATTTCACTTCCCTCCTGTTCCAGAGGAAGACAGCAACTTATCTGCCAGTAGAATTATATTGTTTTCCATAATCTTAAATGCAGAGGAAGAGAGAAGGCTAAGCCACATAAGGAGTAATACTTCCTCCTGCTATTCCCTTCCTGCAGGATCTGGAGCATATGAGCATCTCGAGTTGTACCTTTTTTTACCTGTGTAATACCCCTTAAAAATCCTGTTCTAATTCATCACCTGCAAGGGATTAAATGTGAAGATTGCATAATTATTGTTTCTCAGCCTGTTGCAGATGGATTGACCCTCTTCACGTGTAAGAGAGAAGTAGCAATAAGTTTGTTGAGATAGAACAGTGATTTAACAAAGCTGTTTGTTAGTAAATGTGACAGTGGTTTCACAAGATTCATTGTTGAGGTACGCATGATTATTCACTGCAGAGAGGACAGGGTCAGATAAAACTGTCAGGGAGAAGTTCAGAAAGGACTCCCTTGCTTTCTAAACTCCTTCTCAGAGGGGAGTCCAGAACGGTATCCAGACCTAGTCCCCAACTTGGTCAGTGATTTATGTTTATAGGATTGTATGCATGCAATCAATCCTTTATATCACTTAGTTAAGACTGCAAAGTTTAGCATGCTGTTATTAGTCACTTACCGAGGATCTGTTGTGGCAAGGATTCCCTCAACCTCGACACCACTTGAGAGGGATCCTTACTCAAGGGGAGATGCTGGCATGCTGCCTGCTGCAAGGCGGGAGAGCTTGAGAGGCCCTGGGCTGCCTACTATTTATGGAATAAGATGATTAACTTAGGTCACATTTGAACCCCAGCTGTATTTCCAGCTGTTGAGCAAGATTTATGGCCCTTAGCCACTGCATTGTTATCTGTCTTCCCAATGTCTAACTTAAGCTAGGTGCAGCTGTCATCACCACCACTGGTGGCTATTGCTTAAGCAGGAATAAGGGTGTGTTGGGGAGCATGCTGCCAGATATTCACATCCAGCCTGGGGAGCTGGGTTTGTTTCTCCAGGAGGTGTCACTGCAGGAGCTATGGTTGCAACCATAGGTGCTGTAGTAATGCCTACCTGAAAGATGCACAGAGTAGAAACGTTAAATAAAGACACGTGTGAGAGCGTGGTGTTATCCAAGCATAAGAAAGACATGGAACTGTTGGAGCAAGTCCAGACGAGGGCTATGAGGATGATCAGAGGGCTGGATCATGATTCTGTGATCCACCATTTCTGCGTCTGCGTGTTCCTGAGATGCAAAAGCAGCCGGGTGAGTTGCAGTTCAGTGTGGATGCACACTGGTGTTTGGGCAATATCAGCCAGGCAAGGTACCAAGAGCTGCCTGGAGTATGGCAAGGATGGAGGAGTCGGGCAAGGGACAGGTTGCAGTAGGAGGCTCACTGAAGACAACCTTATCTGAGGACTGATGCAGATGCTCTGCTGCTGCAGGTCCTGGTGGATGTGCCCTGTACGACAGACAGGCACTCTGTCATGGAGGAGGAGAACAACATCTTCCACAAGAGACGAACCAAGGAGCGCCAGATGCTGCCCATGCTGCAGCTGCAGCTGCTGATGTGAGTAAGCTCGATGCTGTATTTTGGGGATGTTTCTTTTATGGTAGCACTGAAACTTCTTCTTTCTTTGTGTGTCCCTGGCTGGGAAATGTGGAAACCATATGTAGTTTTCTGGAATGGCAATAGTTGAACACATTAAATCATAGTACATAGTACATGCAAATGTTCGCAGTCAGAGAGCAGCCATAGCAGGTAGGAAGGAGAGTCCAAGGAACAGGATGGGTATAATGTTGTCCTTTTGTGCAAGTGTGAACCTCCTGGGTTCTGGCAGCTAGCCTTGGAGGTTTCCTGAGTGTCCACATCTCCCAGCACATGTGAGGACATGTGGTCACTTTGTCACCCCATTCCATGGGAAGGCTGGATGGGCTGACTGTGAGCTGGGGCAGTCAAGAAACAGATTAGAGTCCCATGGCAGCACTTGAACTGCAAAAGCCTCTTCTCCTGTACGTACTCTGACCCCCTGCTTTTGCAGGTGAGTACAGGATTACTCCTAGCTGCTCTCCTGTGTTAAGTACTTTATCAGTCTTATTTAACTCATATTGCCCTGCTCTAAAACAGTCCTCAAGCTACAGTGATACAGAGAGACTTGCTGAGCCTGTGGGGTTCAAGGAGGTTTGTGTCTGACCTCCTATGAGTTACATGCTGTCTTCCCAATGTCAGTGTGTGGGAATGCTGGTGTCTCACACAGTTCTTTCCGTAACAGTGTGTGTGTGTTCATCTTGCTTTCAGGGCTGGGATCCTCGCTACCAAGCCGGGAGGAGAGGTGGTGTATTCTACGTGCTCCCTCTCCTCGCTGCAGAACGAGTGTGTGGTCGAGAGAGCGGTGGACATTGCAGAAACCCAGTTTAACATCAGTGTCCATGTTGAGGACTTGAGCTACTTCCGGACACTCTTCAAGGACACGTTTTCCTTCTTCTCGGATTGCCGGCTGGGGGAGCTTGTTCTGCCTCACCTCACGGCCAACTTTGGACCCATGTATTTCTGCAAGTTACGTCGGGTGTAGAAGGGGTGACAGACTGTGCTGGCTACCAGGAAATGCCCTGGATTCCCAGGGAAAGCAGAACTGCTTTATATTTATTTTTCTTTTCAAAATGTCCCACAGGAGCTCTGCTTTTTTACTGCAGATAGATACAGAGAATAAATGAGAAAGACCTGCTGCGGAGTCTGCTGAATATTTATCTGTTTGAGACTGAGGTGTTTAATCTAGGAAAGAGACAGAGGTCTTACGAGAGGGAGCGATTTATCCATCCATCTTGGGATGTGGTAAATGGCCTTCTGTGGATGTTGCTCTCTCCCTCCTGTCTGACTGCTTTGATACTACAGATGCAGGTTTGGGTTAACAGACACAATCTGGGGATATCAGGCTTTCTGTCCCAGATCTCACTATCTGCCTAATTGTGTTGCATCTGTCTCTGCTTATCTCCTACCTTCAGAAAGAGCAGCCTGAGGTCCTGAAATAAGGGGTTTCCTAAGAATGTACCTGCTGTGAGGTTGGAAATGTGCTTGGGATGCTCGAGATCTGGTGGTGGAAGGAGCGTGGCGCCAGTGACTTGCCATCCCTCATCCCTGTGGTTGAAATGGAAGGTGGGAACACTCCCACATTAGATGCTTTTTAATGGCCAGTGGGAAGGTGTTTGGATGATTTTGAGTAAAAGCTGTGCATTCATATAATCACAGTCATCAGTGAAGGATTACTGGAGTTTATTATGAGAGTTGCTTTATAGCTACATTTTTATTTTTGTGTGCAAACTACAGTGATGGGGAGGGTAGACATGGCTATATTCCTTTGAGGGCATAGGAAGTACTCCAGTGTCAGCAAGAAAACACTATTCAGCTTTTGTAATCCTGCTCTGTCAGCATAGATGAAAATGAGGATGAACCCCCATCCATGCCCACCCTTCCAGGAAGGTGCAGTTCGTCATCTGAACCCAGCTTAAGCCAGTCCCACCCTCTGCGTGGCATCTTGGTTCCTTACAGGATCTGTCCTTATTGGCAAGGAGGGGGGTCAGGAAATGGCTTTTCCTTCCTCCTTCCCTCCTCGCTGTTGTCTGTGCGCTGCGGATTGCAAAGAGAAGTGGTACCGCGCTGTCCTCTCGCCTTGCCACTGGCCCTGGGCATGTGGGGCTGTGGAGGTTGTGCTGCTCTCTTCTCATGGCTGAGAGTCTCTACCTCCTTCATGAACCGGAGGCACAGCTCCTCCTGCCATGGCAAGGCCACGCACTGCACGGCCACGGGCAGCCCCACGGCTCCAGACACAGCCTGCAGCAAGGGCACAAGTGGTGAGGGGGCACCAGGGGGCTCAGACCTCCAGCAGCACTTGGAAACCTGGTTTAGGAACGTGGCTCATCACAGAGAATGGGGAGGTTGGAGGCTGAGCCCTGCTGTTCAAGCAGCGTCAGCATGCTGGGGCAGAGGGAAGGCTCTTTCCATTACCATGATAGAAATGGCTGCCAAAGCAGCATGTTTAAGTCATTCCACCACACACAACCCCCAGCCAGCTCTGCTTTGAGCTTGCAGACAGATCCCTCTTCCTTCAGCATCTTTGCTCCTGATCCATGCTCTGCTGACAGCCTGGGCCTGGTGAAGGCATCATGGAGCAGGAGGAAAGTGCATTGCAGTGCTGTGGGATGTGGCTGGCACAAGGACCTGCTCAAAGAAGACTTGCTGCATGCCTCCTTCCTGGTTCCAGCCTGCACATGTTCCCCCAGTCCTCCCAAAGCTTATGACTTACGTTTTGGGGGGCTTGGGAGAAAAGGGATTTTCAAGAGGTATATAAAGGTGATTTATTTTTTGCATTGTGCCATGTTGATGGACACATTTAGCAGCCCCTAATTTCAGTGAAACTATTGAACATCCATCAGCAGTCTCTGCTCCACCACTTCCCATGCTGCATACCTGTTTCAGCATCCGGTCCCAGGGGTCATCACAGCATCCTTGGTAAAGCTTTAGCTCTTCCTCATCAGCTTCTGTCACCGTGCTGACGGGCACGACCCCAGCAGGGAAGTTCAAGACATTGTACAACATTGTGGAGGAGATGGCAGCTGAGAGAAGTAGAAGAGAGAAATGCAGGTGGTCACAGCCTCCTGCCTTCCTTCAAACTTACACACTGCATGTTCACTGAAGAACCAGCTGCTGGTGGGAGAGAGATTGCACAAGGCTGATTGTCTGTAGGTCGAAGTCTTACTGCAAGAAACAACTGCCATCAGATGACTTCATCCACGTCTGTCTCCATCTGCTTAGATAGCCTTATGGTAGTTATTTTTCCTTCCTCATGCCCATAAAAATGCTTAGGTGCATGGTGAAGCTCCTGGTTTCTGTCCAGTCTCAACCACTGTGGTCATCTGCCCTCCCAGGAAGGTCCAAGACTCACTTACTGAGGAGTTTCCCAGGGTATCCCGTGGTGAAGGCAGGCCCCAGGACAGGGCATAGCACAACATCCAGCCCCAGTTCCCTCCACCGCGCGATGAACTCAGTGCGGTACACCTTGGGGAGGAGAGGAGGTGACATGGAGGCCATGTCCATGCCTGGAGCATCTCAGCTTCTCCAGGGCATGCATCAGGCTCTGCATGGCCAAAGTGGCAGCAGCAGGCAGCTGTACTTGAGTGAAGAGGCAAAGGAGCATGTGTTTGTCTCCACAGCACATGGCCAGACAGCGGGCAGGTACTGGAAAGGTGTTCCCACTTCCAGGACAGCCATCATTGTGCTGGGACCACCAAGTGGGGGCATTTGGGCATAAGCACTGTGAACAACTAATAAAGTCCTGGCCGGGTTGATCCAAACGCTCATTTACCCCATTCCTGTCTCTCTTTTGTGCCTTTCCCTCCATACTGTCTCCTCCCCAGCACCCCACTGCCCAACCCCTTTCCTAACCCTCATCCTAACTGATGACCCTCTGACCTGGCACTTGTCATAAAGTCTCAACTTGTAGCATGATGCCAGAAAGAAAACTCCTTAAAACATACCTCTATTTGATGTTGGTGATTCCACATCTCCTTCACTGAGCTGCAAGTGGAAATTGTAGCAACAGTTTTAAGCTCTAGGAGGAGGAATTGCTTAAATAATCCCCCAGGTTGATAAGCACCAGGGACTTTATCAATTACTTAAAACAACACATCTTTCCAATTTGTCTAAAGTTTCCTCCAGCATTTGGCCAAGCAATTAAGCAACAAATGTCTGGAAGTGGTAGAGAAAAGGTTTCTCTTGTGAGCCTGGACTTAGTCCTCTTCTCCACCACAGGCTTCCTGAATGACCTTATCCACCCAAGTCCCTCAATCCTTTCAGAATAATACTAGCGGCAGTGCAACACTGGGGAGATGTGTTCCTAAAGGCTGAAGTCATGTCCAGGATGGAGGGACAGCCCCTGCAGAGAGCAGGTCAGAGCCTCTAGTAAAGCCCAGCCCCACTCCACCATGGACACTGAGGAGAACACTGTCCCATTCATTTCCTTGGACATGCTGGGGATGATGCCATCTCACCTCATTCCACTCAAGGTGCTCAGATAGTCAGCCAGGCGGGGAAACTGGAAAGGGAAGAGGTACTTGTCAGGGACATGACATGGGGGTGCAGTTGACTTCTGACATCCCAGGAACCCCCTGGTCCTATACTGCTTCCATCCCTGGGGATGCTGCACTAAGGGTTAATGGTGATGATTAAAAATGCTCCTCATGGTTCTGAATTTACTTTGCTTTCAACTTCTGGTTGTTGTTTCCCATTGTGTTTCTTACAGCCCTGCATTTCCTGCTCACAGAGGAATGAACTGACTTGAGCCAAGTCACCTTTCATTATTTTTGATAAATTAAACATTTTTTAGTTTAGTATCTCACAGAAACAAGACCTCCACAAGCACTTTGATTACCTCACACTCACTGCTACCTTTTTGATCCTCTCAGCTCAAAGTAATCCAACTGGACAGGGAGGCAGAGAAAATGGAGAAGCCCTACAAAAGGATGCTCAGCTGGTGAAAGGGCTACAGCAAGGGCAAGCTCTTACTAATCACCAGGAGCCTCCATGAAGGCGTGATCTTTGGGAGGCCTCCAACACATAGGTTCAACCTTGAGGCCCTCTGCTGCAGTAATCCCAGTGCATGAATCTGTAGGAAACTGGGCACTGCATGCTTTAGCATTTGAAAACCCGCTTGCTGTAGACTCTGCATTAATCTTTTACAGCTCTTGGCTGGTCCTTCTCACATTCTCCTTTGCATTAGATAAATCCCAGCAGGGGTCTAGAAACGATCTTCCACAGTGATGGCATGTGCCTTGGCCTGAAATCCCAGTGTTTCTAGTTAAAAGTTTCTCTCAGTTCCATCATGCTTTCAAGCATCTCAAGAGCTGAAACTGTTCTGCTTTGATCCTGACGCCAGGGACTCACCAGAGGTTTAAGAATCAGAGCCAGCAGCTTCTTCCCCAGCCTTGGGATCCTGCAGCAATTCACCTGTGATTTCAAGCTTGGATCTACAGTATCTCCTGTGCTGAGAGAAGACAAGAGGAGGGGATCACGCCAGAGAAGCTGTTTGCCTTTCCTCAGAAAGCTATCTCCTGTTTGGGGTGGGAAAGCTGGGCTCATTTTGCCTCTGTGTTGTGCTCATGGGTCTGGGGACGAAGGTGTCTTACAGCACTGCTGCCCGAGGGCTTCTACTTACAACAGGTCCAACCAAGCTTGGCCTCCATCAGCGAAAAAGGTCTTCAGAAACAGTTCATTCATGACATAGTGGATCCGAGGTGGAGAAAAGGGCACCAGCTGCACCAGAACACAAGATTATGTGTCAGCCTGGGAACATGCTAATTTCCAAGGCCCAACTGTGGATATACCTCGAAGGCAGAGCAGCACTTCCCTGGGCTCCACATGCCAAGAGAGGCCTCAGTTCAACCCTTTACCAGCCCAGTCATCTCCCCATGGGATTATTCCTCCCTGACAGCCATTTGGCTCAGCTCTCAGATACCTCCAGAACTGCTTCCTCTTCCATCATGCTCCAGGCAGCCCCTGAGCCAGAAGTTGCACCAGATTCCCACCTCTCCCAGCACAATCAACATCTCAGACCTGGAGTCACTTTGCTATGAAAAGCACCACTAGCATGTTTCTACAGGTAGGTCTAGATGGAGGGAAAGATATTTCTCATCCCATGCCCTATGGCTCTTTTCCCTCAGTGGTCTAGGATGG